TGCATAATGCTTGACAGACAGTACTTTCTTCAAGTTTGAAGGGATGTAAATGGGACTGTGCTAGATCTGCTGAATGTGGAGGATAAATGATGGAGTTCAAGGCCACAGACATGTATTGCAGCCATGACGACAATAGACATGGCAACGGTGCATTGTCCTGTGGATCAACACACCTTTAGTGAATTTTCCACGTTACTCGTACGTGGTTACCTAAGCAGATTAGCATGGTTTTGGCCATTAATGGTCTGAACTTTCGGGAGGTAGTCCACCAGTAGGATTTCTTTGGAATACCAGGAAATTCCAGCTGATAGAATTGATTTGCCCTTCTTCAAAGAATTAGATGTTTCCATAGTTGTGAGTCTTCTTTGGTCTCTGACTGATAGCGATGAACCCAAATATCATCCATGATATCAAAATCGATCCACAAAACCAGCTGGATCTGCTTCAAAACGACGTATATAACATACGTTGATAGATGATGAACGTTTCTGATCAGAAGCCTTGGAACTCTGTGTGTTGAAACGTTTGTCAGTTGATTCCTTAGAATGTCCTCAACTGTATTGGCTATGTAACGTGTAGTGAGTCGTCGAGCATCCATAATGGTATCATTATTTTATCAACATTATTCTCAGTGGTGGCAGCTGATTGTGGATCACCTTCGAGTCTCTCCCACATTGATTGTGGCAAAGCAAGGCAAATGATATCATCTCCTAAACATGATTTTCAGTTGAAGATACTTGATGGCAGCGTGGTAGCCAATTTTCAAACAAGAATACGTAGTCACTTTCATACCCGCAGACATATCTTGCCTGGTTGTGTATTTGATTCTAATTCAGCTTGTAAGCATTGAAAGTATTAATCGTAATACATACAAACTGTTAAGGGTGTATTATACATCCTTCATAGTAGGCTCAGAGATTTTCAGCCACCCATTGTTTAAGTATTATTAACAAAAACATGACAACATTTCTTTCCTTGCGCATTTTATTTCACAATTTTAACATTTGACTTATTGGTGATAACACTTTCGACAAAAGGTGGCGCAGGGTAGCCACTATCCTTGTTGTAGACACCACACTTTTTAAAGGGACACGGTGACTCTCTCCAGGCATAGCGTACGGCAGACACCACCATGTTTTTAGTCTGCAGACATATTTGGCTGTAGTCGAGGGTCACTGATGTGTTGTCATGTGACACAATAGGCAAGGGGAACCACTCTGACTCATCCGAAGATGGAGCTGAACTATTGGTGCATGTCACCTGGAAGAAGTCAGTATTAAAATTAAAAGATGTTATTAATGATAAACAGAATCACTTCTCACTACAATACGTTGTAAATCACAATATCTCTGATCATAACAGCTGATCCATCTACTGATTCACGTCATATGAATATACATCTCAACTTTTTTTTGTCAACCACATGATCTTGAAGAACCTGGAAACTTCAATTCAACTCGAAAACATTGTGAATCCAACGTTCAACCGCAACTGTTTGTACTCGTATGACATTTTTTTATATTGTCGACACCATCAGCTGATGCTGGCTTGTCGAAGTGAATCATCTCGGTACAGCAAGACCGGATCATTCACTGGACTGGACCTCTCAGCATTACAGTCTTTGTTGTTGTATCACAAGATATTTCGAGGAGTGGTTACGAGTAGCACGGCCTTGTTAATAAAAAGTCAGATTGTATCCCCACTAATACTGGACCAATTGATCTTAAACTTTTCACACCCATGCCCACAATTGAGGATATGTTCGAATCCCATTTTATAAACATGGTCACTTTGTCAACCACAAGGACAAACTTATAAGTAAGCCCTTTTTTGAATTATTGCACGAATATAATTGTGCATGGCCATCATAGGTAGTCGGCATCGGGCCTTAAACATTCGTTACAGTTTTTGCAGTATTGTGATATTTGACCTTTAATTGACCTTTCAGTAGGAGTTGTGTTGTACTGACTCACATTTTTGAGAGAAACATTAGGACACATTTTGTCGCCTTTTTGGGTAGCAGTGAAGCCTGTATGCAACAGACATTACCTTCTTCTCTTACAGTGTTTAAACTTGCTGTTTGAACTAATCAATATCTATTGTGACATTACGAAAATCTTTCATAACTGCCATGTTCTCTTTTGTTTATCATTACTTAAAATGAAGCTTACTTTGCGTCAGTTCCATGCCCAGATCGCATCCTATTCGTACGCCAACATATCCAAACATCCATCTTGACACTCTGAATACCCCTATCAAATCTTTAGAATTTGAAGTTTACCGCGCGAAACCAACTTCAGTATGGAACAGACGAGCACACTGTATATCAAGAGCCTTCGTTGCTCAATCGGTCTCCGGGCTGGATTTATTGTCGTTACAGGCTTTCATGCAGGCTATGGGTTCAATGCCCGAGTCTGGTAGCTGTGGCTTGCCTGCAAAAGTTTCTGTGTCACGTGATGGACTGTCACTCCGAGATGTGCAGAAACGCCCCCTTGGCGCATTATGTGTCGCTCCACCCGTTGAATTATTGTACATGTGGCATCAAAGTACAAATGTTGCAACTTTGCAGCAATGTGTGGAAAGAGTTCAACTTAATACACCTTTGAATGTTGTACCACTGTAGCGTTTATCGACATTGTCTGTGACTAAATATATATTGAATATAAACTAAAATTTGTTGACCAACCCAATAATGAATTAGCAATGGTCACTGACCTCAAAGCCGGTTGTTGATCTAATATCAAGGTCTTTATAAAAGTTTATCTCCATGGTTCTTTCCTTGGTGTAGATTATGAACAGACCAGGAATGGGTCCGTCGAATGTAGAGAACTGAGTTTGGTTGTAGGCCACAGCAAGTCCAGCTGTACACAGACGCATAGACACATCCTGCTTGTCCCGGGGGTGGACACTGAAAGTACATTCAACTGTATAAAATGTACAACATTTTCAAATGAATAAGTTAAATTTCAAAGGATATTATTTTAATACAAGAATATAAAAAGATATAGTTATATACCCTGTGTATGGAGAGGTAAAGTCCGGCAGGTCCATGGCCACCGCCATAAAGGTGTTCTTCATCCTGTCGTTAGGGACGTAGCCATAGTCAGCCGTCTGGTGCCATCGAATGTCTGTGAAGCCAGTAGTAATGGTGTCATTGTTTCTGTATGGGGCAAGCTGCATTCAAAAAAGTAATGACCATAATTCAGTGTAATCAAGCGAGTGAATGGAAATAACTGTATATTTACAGGATGGCTTTGATAAAAAAAACATATTACCAGAACTTAGAAATAATGAATGATAAGAAAAGTGTTCTAACAGCTTAAATTTGCCTTTCCATCGAAAAAGCTGTATTGGCAGTTTTTAATATCTTGAAAATAAAAATTATGAAAGAATGTTTTTAAAATAACCAATATTATTTGAATTGTGTTTGAATTGGTAATTCTGAAGAAAAACGGTAATTCTTATACAATGATAATTTGTTGATAACTTTATGTTAGTGGGACATGTTCTTCACACATGGCGACAATAAAACTTTTAATAGCTTTGCTGACGCCTTAATGTTGTTACCTTGATAAAACAACGTTTGAGAAAGTGTGGTATGACACTTAGACGGGGCCACCCGTCTTTTTGCACAGATATAAATATGAAGAGATAAAGCTGTTTCAGATGTGTCAGTCAGTGGAAGGAAGTCATTATTGAATGATATCAGATCATTGATGGCAACATATTCAGTTATCAAATCATACTAAAGATCACATGGACTAGCTGTCTGTTGTCACACGGATAAACACAGCAACATGCTATGATTTGTCATGATATAAACACAGAGCCTCAGGCATCTGTGAGGGATAGTTTGGTATGTGTAATAGTAGGAGAGAATATTACCTGAACAAATCCGAAAGGAAAGGCTGGGTCTGTTTGTCCTTCTGATCCTTGGTGGAACCTCTCTCTCCAGTCATCTATCATGGCTGGGAAAGTACAGTTGTACTGGTTCATTGTTGAAGAACCGGCATTGGCTTCACCTTGTCACAGAACATTGATACACATATCAAACAGTACACCATATACTGGTCCATTTGTTGGTCTATAGGTGGTATGTTGCTCCTTTGAATCCTTCATTACAGTTTCTCTGCTCAATTGTTTGGTCTACAAGTGGTCTGTCAGTTCCACAACGGAACCTGTCTCTATCATGGCAAAGAACATACAGCTGTTCTGTTTGATGAAATGGTGGTGTGGTACTCGCCTTAACTTGTTGTAGAAAAATGTTCAACTTGTAATCTGTTAATTGACCTCAAAATTTGACCCTCTTAAATTCCAACGTAGGCGTTCAGAATGTAGAAATTATACCACGTTTCCCAAGCGTGCTGACTACATAAATCGGACGTTAGGAATTGGTGGGTGTCCAGATCATTTCATTCATATCAAAATATAATTGTGATGTCTATTGAAGTAAGTTCTTATTGTTATAAGTGCACATTTGCAACCGATAGTGAGACGGTCACACTAGGTAAGTTTTCTTTATATCGGTTGCCGTAAATAAAACGTGGATTCTCTTGGTATCTCCTCTTGTAACCGTGCTCACAACGACCTTTCCTAGAGCACCTAATCGTATTAATAAATACGTTTCCGAGAGAGATATCGATGTTTAACAATGGGATAAGTTGTTTGTCATACACTGTTACAAATCAGAGCACAGCATTATTCCCTTTCTGGGAAAGTAAAGAGTTTATATGAATGGTTTTCCATATTTAGACAGATTTTAGTTCAACTTGAATTAATCTCCACATTTTCATGAATGCACGATGCATGGGATGCTGAGGTCAGCATGAGCATATCCTTTTAGAAATTGCTTTTTTCTGTAAGTAAGCACTGAGCTATGAATTTTTTACCTATATTCCTTTAGCCATATTAAAAAGTACTACATGTATAATATTTTGTGAGACAATATTCCACTAAAATAGATGAATATGGCACCAGGTCTAATGTGTAACAGTTTTTACCTTGATACCAGATGGCTCCGTATATGGTCATGTTGAGGAAGGGTCGCATCATGGCATTCCACAGAACAGAAGCAGAGTTCGGGTTCACACCAGACACATCGCTTACACCACATTTCTTGAGAACATTGGGAGCTGACCACGCCTCTACTCGGGTTCCTCCGTATGATGATGCTATGAGGCCGATGGGGTTTTTGAGATGTGAAGACAGGTACTTGCCATATAACCAGCAGACTCCCGAAAAGTACGACCAATTCGGACCGCCTATAGTACCTGGATGTCAGGAAAAAAATGTTGCCGTAATATTTAGAATTTTGGAGAAAAAACCCCACTAAAATCAAAAATAACGTAAATGGACATCTGCCGATTAATATATCTGTATCACCCTGACTATATCACTATCGCAGCATAAAGGCTAAAGGAACCTTCATGGTCAAATGCCAATATAAAACTACATTTTGAATGTGGTTTGCAACCTGATTATTGTGATTATGGTAGGAAGATGAACGCGATGTATTATCATGCAAGAAGGGATGTCGTGACATATGGTGTATCTGTAAGACAGCAGCAAAGTTGAACTGTTGAAACAGACTTTGAAGCAAAATGTTGATGTTTTTACAAAAGGTGCTGACATATAACGATTGCACATGACTTGGCATCACTGAAGTTGTTGGTTCTACCTGCACTTGGAACAGACCAATGCTGGCTGATATTCAGCAGATCATATTCTTCGACCGGAGACCCTCCCAAGGCAACTGTAAACACCCGGATGTTGGGATAGTTGGGGACATCTGCCATCTCTTCCGTTGCATTTAAAGCCTGCATGGATTATACTCAATTATAAATGATGCCTTGTGGGACCTTGTTAAGAAAGATCAAGAATGTTATAAATCATCGATTAATACATGACCTTTTCAACACAAGCATATCTGCAGTTCCATAAAGAAGTTTTAGGTTAGCAGAGACACTAATCCTGTTTTACTTGTGGTTAAAGTCAGAATCTTTTGTAACATGTTTAAGATCAGATTTGCGTTTTGTTCATTGACAACCTTACCATATTTGAGTCCTATAACCACTCATTTTACCATCATAATTGAGTATGTAACCAGTTAGTTTTCATCGACCTTGACTACCAGTTATGCATGGAGAAGCGTCTATAATATCGACTAACCTATTGTCATTTTTTTTTTAAACTTACCATCGAAAGTGTAAACTGCATGTTGCTCTGACCGGAACATATCCAGACGTCACCAAATAACACATCAGTTAAGCCAATGCTGCCCTCGCTAGATGTCGCTGTAATGTTGTAAGGCCCACCAGCAGCGATTGCAGGAAGTTGAACTGACCACACAGGGGTTGTTGCCATAGGTCCATTAAAGGATGTTGTGTTCACCTCCCCTTTACCACTAATGCTCAATGTGATTGTCTCCCCTGGTTTTGCAGCATATCCCCAGATTGCAGCTTTCCTAGGCGCTTGTTGAAGAACCATGTGGTCTCCATAGTAACTAGCAAAGGCGAATGATTTTGCTTTTAAGGCCTCTGCAATATCAATGTATATGTTTTCCCTTGTTGTTCAGTAAAACCAGACATATTGTTTTCTTTTGGGCAGCATTTTGAAGAAGCATATAGTTTCCATAGAAACTTGCAAAGGAGAATGTTTTAACATCTATGTTCCCTGAAATATATTAACCCTTAGGAAATGTAATGCAGATTTCGGACGCTTCAGAACAATGTTATGAAGTCTTGTATAGTTATATCTTTAAGGAGATAACGATGATTTGGTTTGGGTCAGAGAGGTTTATCAGACAGTGTCACAGGTCGGACGTAACACGTTTCGTACTGTAACACAAGTGTGGAACAATGTAATATATTCTTGTGTAGTTATATCGACAGAACTTTACCTGTTTTAACAACTTGGACTAAAATATGACACGAAATGACAGTCAGATAGAGCTGACCCTACTTTTGTGTAAATCACGGGGTTCCAACCATATGTTAAAATTTGTTCAATCATTGAATGCACAAATACTTGGTGTCAATTTATCATGTGGTCCGTACAACTAACTTATGATCTTGAGAAAACCTACCTTCTCCTGCAGTAAGTAAGGCCACCTCAAGGGTAATCAGGAGAACTGCGCAGGCAGTTGGTCCCATTTTGCCGGAATGTTTGAGTAAAGACTAATGATTGCACAGTATATATATTTAGGACACTATCTACCTCTATGATATCTCTACCATATCTGGAAAACTACTTGCATTCTTTAAGACAATACCTAATGTAGAACACATTCCTTATGGTTGAGTATATTAGATTTAAGTGTTTATATGTTTGGTCTGGTTGGTCCAGGTTTTGGGATTTGTTGTTTGAGACAGAATGTTTGTCAGTTAATGCTTCAAAAATTACATATCTTGTATTCCGAAAGGAGCGGTGAAACAATTAGGTTTACTCATAACCCATCAGAACATCCATCATATCGTCAAGAATTTTGTTGTTGGTAAAACCTGACCACAAATAATATGATTTAGTTTTCAAACGTTTGGGACAACGGTGTATTAGACTTCCTAAATTTGTTTCTTAGTCAACAGTTCAGTAGATATGATTCAAATCTAACTTTAGGGAGTCAACATGCAGTTACAAGCTTGAGGTACTATATTTATAACAAATACTTCCATTTGCTAGCACTGAGATGGTGAGAATTGAAAACTGTATTATCAAAATAAATTCTGAGCCACGATCCGTCAGGTATGTTGGGCAATCAACCAAGTCACCAAACCTGACCACACGATTCAGTAAGTCGCCCGTCATCGTCGGTCGCCGCCATCAAGAATCATTTTGGTAAGACGTTTCCATATCATTAATTGAACATGTCTTGTATGACAAGAGAAATGACTTCAACTTTCCAATAGTTCCAGCAACTCCAGCCTTTGGTGTCTACATTCCACAACTTTTGAGGTAAGATGGAGCATGCTCTTTCTATGGCGATTTCAATTTCCCCATTTTGACTCGTACCCTATTTTTTTCAGGTGAGCAGTTGACTTTGTGCTCGTGACGGGTGCCACCGGTGGGGCAGGATACAATCACCTCGTGACACCTGGTATCATCCCCGTTTGATAGTGATTAATTCATAAACATATGCTCGTGATATAGACGGAATCGTACAATGAACTCTCAGATTTCTCATGATGATGGAAATGTTTGTGTAGCTTTTATTCGTGTTTTCATAGCCATTGTTGCCTGTCAGTAATATACCCTAGACATAATACAAAGTAAACATAGTGTTGTTACCCGTTTTTAAAGAGATGTTCATCTTCATTAACTAGATGGCCTAATGGGTGTTTATTGATTATACTCAAAATCAAACATTTCAGTTATTTTCACGGAATTTTAATATTTGACATCTTATTGCTGGTTTTAAAAGTATAGCTCATCACCATTACAGGGAGGGCCTCACGGATGTGTATTGATAATAACTAAAAACCAAACATTCTAGTTATTTTGCACGCAATTTATTTCATAATTTCAATATTTAACATCTTATTGCTTAACATGTCGAATGAAAGGTGGCCCTGGGTATCCACTGTCCTTGTTGTAGACAGCACACTGTTTGAAGGGGCAGGGCGACTCTCTCCAGGCGTACCGTATTGCAGACACCACCCTGTCTCTAGATCGCAGACATAGTTGGCTGTAGTTGAGGGTCACTGATGTGTTGTCGTGTGAAGTAATAGGCATTGGGAACCATACTGAATTATCATCTGGTCGTGATGAACTGTTGGATTTAACACATGTCACCTAAAGGAAAACAACCACAATAACTAGAGAAATCACAACTTAATGAAAGGTCTCTGATTCAAACAGTTTACTCGTCAGTTGATTCATCACTTATGAATATTTGTCTGAGTGTACTTTTCATCAACCAGCTGTCATATTAACTTTGATCAGGGGACACACCATGATGATAGTTCTCAAACGCCATCACTTAGTGATGGCACAGAACAGGGACTGCTGGTCCCACGAAGTATTCAGCAATTCTGTAGCAAGGTATTGGTGTATTTCCAGCATTGCTACAGGAACAAACGGGTTGATGCTTTTGACACGCACAATATTTGTCGCAGTAGAACTCGAATATGACGAATATGACCACCCTCGAAACCACTCAGGTTAAAAAAGGTCATATTTTGCCCTTAAAGGGTCGGCATACGTTTCGAAATTAGCAAAATGTTATCAGATATGTTCATGTGAATGAGACCTCGAGTGTTGACAGATGCTTGTTTTGGACACAACACTAAATGTGGGAAAAAGCTGATTTTAGAGGTTTTCAGTTTTCAGTTTTATTATTTGAACATGAGCCAGTCTTTGACTCAAGCTTATTTTCGTTGGAGATACAGATAAAGACTCAAACGTATGGTAACAAAATCTTCTCAGGGGACAGATGTAGTTAATTTTTCTTTTGAAGAATAATCGACCTTTTTCGCTCATACTTGAACATGCCATTTGTAAAAACCTTGCAAGGGTATATAGAAATGTGGGATAGGATACGCTTCCCCTTTTGCGAACAGCTGGTTTTATACTTATTTGATATTGATAGAGTGATATTGTCTATTTAATCATGAAGTATTGAATTATTCTGAAAATATTACATCGATATATCACTCGAATGAAATATCACTTTATCTGGAACGACTTTCAGACTGTCCTAATGATACAATTATTTTTCATGGAAAGATAGTGAAGATCATTTAGAAATTACATGTACATAATGAATAATTAACATTTGTAATGTTGTAACGTAATAATTGTAACATATTAACTATTGTGATACACGCGCCACTTATCTTTGTAAGGTCACTAGATCAGATATAGATGCTATTTGACAAGAAAATATAAGTATCCCCTATATATCGTAATAAGTCACAAGCGAATGGAACCCAGAGCCAATGATTCCGCGTCATCAGACTGTGCGCAATTTACCTACTGGCAATACACACAAACAAAATGGTCATCTCAGAGAAATATATGCAAAAACATAACAATTGTTTGGTTCACAAAAGCAAGAAAAAACACGAAGTAGCAATGGTCACTGACCTCAAAGCCTGATTTCGATCTAATTTCCAGAACTTTGTCATAAGTAATCTGCACGGTTTCTTCTTGCGCCAAGATTGTAAAATGAGACGGGTAGGGGCCATTGAGTGTAGAGAAGTGAGTTTGGTTGTAAGCCACAGCAAGTCCTGCTGTACACAGACGCATAGACACATCCTGCTTGTCCCGGGGATGGATACTGAAAGCACATCGAAAAACACACAATATCTTATCTGATTGTTACATATTATGGCCAGTGTCCAGATGACCGAGTCAAAAATGACACACATAGGGAAAGGCACCGTCAGGGACTACTTAAAATGGTGTGAGGGTTTACTGAAAAAGAAACAACATTTGTGCAACAATATGGATTACAAATTGTTAGACATTCCACCTTTTTTTAATAGCATTTATTTACTGGGTTTACATTATTTATGATACCTTTGCCAAGGAGACGAGAAGTCGGGCAGGTCCATGGCCACCGCCATGAAGGTATTCTTCATCCTGGCGTTAGGGACGTAGCCATAGTCAGCTGTCTGGTGCCACCGAATGTCTGTGAAGCCGGTCGTAGTGACGTCATTGTCTCGCCATGGAGCAAGCTGAGGAAAGAAGGAATAAAAATTGTCAATGCAAGAGAATAACTTGCCTGGATTTTCTACCGAAACAGATTCCGCTGTGGAAATTATATGAGTGGAAGGAATAAAAATGACAATGGACAACAAATTCTTCCTTTGACACAAATATTGTGCATGAATATGACGACTCAAAAGTCAAATCCAAATACTGGTCCGTAAATTGATTGGAAGACAGGTCATTGTAGTGACATAACTTCTCATAAACTGAAGTGTATGGCTGGCAATTAAGGATTATGATTTAATTGTTTTCACATTCTGACATTCTAAACTATTTGCTGGTTTGGTATTGTGAGGGTCGATGCTCGGAATAATAGTTCTACATACATTATAAGCAGAAACAATAGTGACATTCATTTTAAGTTGTACAAAGTCGTTAATAAATGCATGTTAGACAAGCACGATTACCTGTACAAATCCAAAGGGAAAAAGCGGGTTAGTTTGACCAACGGAACCGTGGTGGAATCTATCTCTCCAGTCATCAATCATGGCGGGGAACGTACAGTTGTACCGGTTCATTGATGAAGGTGGTTTGTCATTAGACTCGCCTAAAACAAAATATTGATACAAATTATTTTCGAAATGTGTGTGTGTGTGTGTGTGTGGATGTGTGTGTGTGGATGTGTGTGGATGTGTGTGTGTGTGTGGATGTGTGTGTGTGTGGATGTGTGTGTGGATGTGTGTGTGTGTGTGTGTGTGTGTGTATGTGTGTGTGTGTGTGATAAGATCAGATTTGATATATTTTTTGATATATTTTTTACCTTGATACCATATGACTCCATATATGGTCATGTTGAGAAAAGGTCGCATCATGGCATTCCACAGAACAGAAGCAGCATTTGGATTTACACCAGAAACATCACCAGCGTCATCGCTTATGTCGCTTACATCGTATACATCACATTGCTTGAGAACATTGGGAGCTGACCACGCCTCCACTCGGGTTCCTTCGTATGACGTCGCAATGAGGCCGATGGGGTATTTGAGATGCGAAGACAGGTACTTGCCATATAACCAGCAGACATCCGAAAAGTACGACCAAGCTGGACCACCAATGGTCTCTTGATGTAAGAAGATAAAGAGAGTTAAAACTAGTTGGAACGCAGGGGACATACTTGTCAGGCAGGCGTACAATAGTTACGGAACTACAGAGAGGAAATGATACATGTATTATATTGAGATTACTTGAGAATATGTTTATTTCAAAATGAATATTTTATAGAAGGATATGTTGTCAGAAAGAGCGTGTAAGTAATATTGATGTATGGATTATGACGTTGCAATGTATGACCAGGAAACTCTACAGCAAGTGTTTACCTGGACTAGGAACCGACCAAGGTTCACTGATACCCAACAGATCATATTCTTCAAAAGGAGACCCTCCCAAGGCAACTGTGAATACCCGGATGTTGGGATGGTTAAAGGCATCTAACTCCTCTTCCGTGGCATTGAAACCCTGTCGGAGACAACATGAATAACTGATTTATACAACACTTGGAACGCTAAGAGAACGAATGAAATAGTTGGATAACAGGTCACTAAGAACAGGACTTCAGGTATGTGGTGGTGTGTGTGCTTAAGCGGGATTGAAACCCAAATGACACTAGGTAGTAAACCTTTATCTCTTTGGCAAAACCCATAAGAAGTGTTTCACATTAACACTATGATTAATAATCCGAGGCATCAGTAGGAGTTAGCTGCAGTTAGAATCATCGGTTATTATTCAGCCAGGTTCTTAGGGCTAAGAGAACCTAGTGCTGTAACAACGTGTCACAAGACCCAACCAAAATAAAAATAGCTGATTCATGTTTTCAGAAATAGGTGTGTCACATCAACTATTGATCAGACACTTGCTGAGCAGTTGTAATAAATCATCGGCACAAGGGGACTACAACAGTAAAACACGTTATCAGCATGACCAGTAGACAACAATGAGGTCATCAGATGCTGTCTGCTGGTCATGTTCAATATCTGTGTATGTTACAACCTACCATTGAAACTGTAAACTGCATGTTGCTCTGACCCGAACATATCCAGACGTCACCAAATAACACATCAGTTAAGCCAATGCTGCCCTCGCTAGATGTCGCTGTAATGTTGTAAGGCCCACCAGCAGCGATTGCAGGAAGTTGAACTGACCACACAGGGGTTGTTGCCATAGGTCCATTAAAGGATGTTGTGTTCACCTCCCCTTTACCACTAATGCTCAATGTGATTGTCTCCCCTGGTTTTGCAGCATATCCCCAGATAATCGTTCTTTGGGGTGCTTTTTGAAGAACCATGTGGTTTCCATAGTAACTGGCAAAGGCAAATGGTCTTTGCGCTGTGGTCCCTAAAATAGAATAATGTTCAAGATAAGTGAAGGGATAGGTAAAATGTGGTCTTGATTATAGAGGTATAAGACAGTACTGTCTAAAAGATCCGAATGATAAATCAGGAATTCTTATCTGAAGGTAGGGGTTTGGGTGAAATGGGGTTTAAATTTGCGTTCGAGATTATTGCGCATATACAGCTCTTTCCATTAGGAACCAAACCAACAAGACACCCAAGTATTACATAATGAAATATATTTTTTGTTTCCCCAGATATTAATAACAACAAGACAATATTCGAATATATCTGCACATACACTGTTTCACTCATGTGAGCTACCAGTAATCATACATTAAATCATTTGAATTTTGTATTTGTTGATAATACGAGGGGATAAACCTTCTTGAAATGAATCCAACTTTCATCAGATATCCTGTACATGAGGCAGACGAATGTTGCAGATGATATAGATTTAACAAGATCAAACAGTAGAAAAATTTAAGACAAAGTCAAAGAATGTTCCAGAAAACATATATTACCTCTTCCAGAATATACTGCTAATGCTGCCACATTAACGGCAGTCCAAATGAATTTCCATACAACTGACTCCATTTCATCCGCCGTCTTCAAGACACACACAATCGATCCCTGCCTTATCTCCCTAAGGTTGAACTTTGTACTAACAATCTCTTATAAGTCTTACAAGGTGAAAATATCTTCGAGAAGGTTAAGAGATAAACTTAAAACGTTCTAGCATTTCTATCGACGTTTCTGTTCGATATGGCAAACGAATGGAATAAAAAGAACTTGGAGACAGAAAGTTCCAGAGTGAAAATGATAGTAAATGGCTGTAACTTGAGATAGCCAAGATACCTTAGAGAGAACTACAGCACACAGACGGGAGAGAAGGAATAGCCAGGACATCAGAACATCACTCTCACAAGGACAAAGACGGGGAGGGTCAAACATAGGTCCACAACTTCTTAGTTCTCGCTCTGAGGCCTGGGACAGGACAGCAACCCGCTAGGGGTATGATGAGACCGAGCGTGATTTAAGGACGCCTCAGGTAGATCCGACAGACCATGTCGATGATTGTAAACATGAATGTGTCAGGACTGAATTCTAAATTAACTGATCCGGACTTTACCGATTACTTAAACTCATTTGTATTTTCATGTTGTTAGGTAAAACCGTATTTGGATATAAGAGAAGATTTACTATGTTCATGTGTTTAAGTCCACCCTGAATGTTCGACTTGGTACACAAACCCTTTGAGGCAATGCTAAAAAGGCATACATATATTACAAAATGACCTACATGATATATAAGAACATTGTGATGATGTTTAATATGATAAGGGGAGGAGACTTGAATGTGAGAACTAGCACTGAATCTGATTTTGTACAGGATGATATCCTTGAATACCTCTAGGGACTTGATAACAGTGTATGGGGATTTCTGTTGGACAAATACAGCTTAAATAATTTTTTGGGGGATTTATTTTTGAATAATTTTGGTTAGAGCTTACTCGATTTATGTCGTTTACTGAATATACAAATTGTTAATGGAAGGTGCGGGTCAGACGCTGGTGTAACGCTTCAAGTAAGTGAACCTACGCCACGCAATACACATGTCAGGGATTCCTTTAAGTTTGTGTTGGTTGAAGAGACGGATGAACGGTTTAGAATATACCTAATTTCTGGGTCTGCGTATGATTTACGATACTCGTACTGGAAAAGGCTGTTATTATCGCTGCATCTGATATGAAAAAAACTAATTAGGGCTATAACTATGATCAACAATGGTTTGATAGCGAATGCCAGTTAATTAAAAAGGAATAATGTAGACGTAGACGTAAATTTAGAAAGAATAAGGACAGTAGATCATTAACAGATTATACTAGAGTAAGCAATCAGTACAATGATGTTTGTAAGAACAAAAGACTGAATATCTCGAACAAAAACAGAAACTGTTGGATAAATCTAAAACATTTTTGTCTACGTTAAAAGCCATTAAACCATTGCAAAAATGATATTGCTATTCAAGACTGGTTTGAACATTTCAAGAAATTGTTTTCAGTTCCATTTAGCCTTGACATTGATAATTTATTTGACATGGAATTCAATGAAGATAAAGCTGACAGTGTAACAACTGATGTTCCTGAATGTCCAATATTCCGAAATTATTGACAGCACCTCTCACCTTAAAGATAACAAGGCATCTGGAAATGATAACATGATAGCGGAGATTTTGAAACATTCCACAGGTATTCTAATACCATATTTGAAACTATTTTAATACCCTTTTGGAGAGATCATATTTTCCAGAGAACTTGACAGTTGACATTATTGTTCCTCTCCACAAACAGGGCGCAACCAGCGACGTTTATCATTATAGAGGCATAACTCTCCTCAGTACATTAAGTAAAATATATACTTCCAGACTTGTTTTCTAGACGCATTCTTATAATAAAATAAGTGAGTCACAAGTAAGTTTTAGAAAACGATACTCCAACACTGACAATGCCTTTATCCTATATTCTCCAATGCAGATATATCTATCAGTAAAAGGAGGGAAGTTGTATGCTGTATTTGTAGATTTTGCAAAGGCTTTTGACTCGATGAAAAGGGTTAACTTATGGTCCCTCTTTCAAAGACATGGGCTAAGTAGCAGAATTGGAAAGTTACTGTGTTCTTTGTATAAAAATGTGAAGGTGTGGCGCTTTATCTGATAATTTTATAAGTAATATGGGTGTTCGACAAAGGTGTATATTAGGAGCGTTTCTATTTTCCTTTTTCATAAACGAATAAGCATATTAAATCCAAAATAATTGCACTGATTGAATACAACTACATCCCGAAACTGTTAAAGTATTTCTGCTTCTTTTCGCTGATGATATATTAATGTTCTCGAGCACAATACCTGTTTTGCAAAAAAGACGGGTCGAAACTGACTGTAAATATGGATAAAACTAAAGTTGTAAAACCTAAAACAGAAAACGCAAGGGTATATCGTGAATGTGGAAGTTTTCCAATGTATATCTATAGTTTTTTAAAGGGTATTAAATACTGGGTCAAGTTATCAAATATGTCGTCTTCTAGTTACCCTGCAAAATGTTATACTATGATACTCTATGACAGCAATGGGAAATTAAATTGCGCACCAAAAGTAAAAAACATGTAATACGAAAGTGGATATGGTTATATTTGGTTACAGCAACTTGAAGACATGCAACAGCATTTCTACAGCCGTTTTTAGACAGACCTTTAAAGACATGTACATCCCAAAATGGCATGGTTCCTTTTCCAGATCTAGAAAAGCAAATTGCTACACTACATTTAAGACTACAATGATACCAGAACCTTATCTATTACGTGTTAATTTATGTAAGTTAAGAACAGCCCCTTCTCGATTTCGTTGTACATGTAGCTTACATGATCTATTAATTGAAATAGGCAGATATGTAGGTATTGCAAGAAAACATAGACGTTGTAGGATTATAAAAACTTATTGTATTGAAGATGAATCGCACTTTTATGAGTATGTCTAGTGTACTGATTTAAGGGCAACATACATAAATAACTAGTTTTACCTCAACTCAAAAAGTGAACTAATCTTGTAAATTAATGATAGGTGAATGGAATGAAAGAACATGGAGACAGAAAGATCAAGAATTAATCTGATAGTAAATGGCTGTAACTTGCAGTGGCGACGTTATGTGAAAGTGATAGTCGTGGGAGGGTATGGACACGCAGAACTAAGAAATTGTAAAAATCAATAGTATCGATTTAGAAGAGGTGATTGGCTAAAACGGTAAACAAGCCAAAAAACCCGGAAAAAATAAATAATAAGCAATGACAGAAACGAGGACTAGTCGAAATATGTACGTTGAGGATAGGAAACCCATAGAAGTTGTAAGTCTCAGAGCATGTGTTGAACTGTTCTGGTTAATGTGAAAAAGGACTCGTCCCATACGGAAACTTGTCGCACCCTGAAACCCCATCTAATCGAGCTGTATATCGGGACCATGCTCGTGGGATTACTGAAGAGCTGGTAGATATTTGCAGAAGAGTTGGATCCTTAATCAAGTCTAACAGAAGACACCTTCTATGTGCTCTTCAGTCTATCTATTGATCCAAGTTATTCCACTGATATTTAAACAGCCGTAAGTATTATATATAATCAGTGAGTGAGTAAGTTTTTTTTAACGCCGCTTTTAACAGTATTTTACAGTTATATCGCGGTGTGATATATAATCAGTTTACACAGAGAAGGTGTGACAATGTAGTAATTGATACTATATTTGTTTATTTATCTTGGTTTAATGTATGTATTTATCTTGTTCTTGGGTATGCATTATTTATTAAATATTCTTAACTTGTAGTGACCGCCTCCTTGATCCAGTGGTAGAGTGTCCACCGGGAGAGCGGAAGGTTCGGTGTTAAGGGGCTAAAACAAGGACTGGTCGGCTCGAAGTCAATATACTGTTTCTGAGTGGGGTATCCATGTTAACCTGGAGCATGGTATCTCAGTGGGCTAGCACCATAATATCGGCATCAATTCGGACTAGTACAAGCAGCCTCACACACACACACACACACACACACACACACACACACACACACGCACGCACGCACGCACGCACGCACGCACGCACGCGCGATATAGAAGTGCAATATTTTGAACGCGACGTTAAACACCATTTCACCTCAACTTCACTTGTGATTTCATTTTGTTTTCATGTGTCATGTCTCATAGTTCATACATATATGGCCGAGTGTTTTAACGTGTACACTGATATACAAAGTATGTACAACTTGTGACTATGTCTCACTATCGCCTTCACACACGGAGCAATACTATTCACTAGTTGTGTGTACGCTCCTCAAAAACGCGTATCTATAAAGTATTTCAAATTGTAGTTGATATACGATTGAATACAACTTGATTACTAGAACTGGTTGCCTCCTATTAATATGATTGACAGTTTATTGACAGCTTTGATTTATAGGGATAACATGCATGTAGTCACTTTCTCTAATTTATCTATAGTTAGAAATTTCAATTGTCATGTAATAGCAGTGTTACTTAAAACTGGCAGATTATTTTTCATCAGGTAAAACTAGTTGATTCGTCTAGTCTAATGAGTCTCAGACGAGTCTTACCCTATCGAATAATTGGCACCATACATTCCAGCAGAGAGTTTATTTTTTACTTTATTATCTACATGTTTTGTTAATTGTAGTAGATACTTACATCACTGTATCTCAGAACGCAGAACTGACAACATCCAAACATAGAGAATTGTTACACAGCATTTCCTGTATATTCATGCTCAAAGGAAGAGCCTACATGTAACGTCACATTTCCCTTGGTCTACTTCAGCTCTACTTCTCAAGCATAATTTAATTTCTGAAAACATTTTGAATGAAAGGAATTAAAAAGAAATTATTTTTATAATCATATTTGACAAACCTACCACATTCAAAAACTGTTACACCCTATACACACATTTCGTTCCAATGGACCTGCATCGGGCAGGTCGAATGTCGCATACGACTTTAAAGTGAATACTTTTACAGTGTACATGTATATGGATAACTTTTAACTGCATGATATATATTCATGATAATCAATTATTCCCGTTCCTATTTCGAATGAACACAGGCTTAATCTGCAAGATGACAGATAAAATCCTTCTTTGTTTCATGCAAAAAATAATAATTGAATAATCTAGGAGTACTTTGATGGTATGGCATTATGAATGAAATTGGAATATGAATAGTGAAAAACAGTCACCATATGGGATGTGCATGTATAACTTGTCTTCCAACACCACGCTTGTGCCGACGCCCGGGGTCAGAAAACAAATTCGTCCCATAAAAGGGACAATTAGTTTCGCAGATACTCCGCAGAGTGTGTGCGCAAAAGTCTAACCAACATTCTGCGTAGTCCCGTAGACTTGCGTCCTAGTGTAGTCGGAATGGACTTCTCATGATTAAGAGTGTCTTTGTGGCTTTTATTTATGTTTTCATAGCATTGTTACCTATCAAAATAACAAAAACCTGAACAGGGGACAAATGGGACAATTGCATTGATCATTCACTAATCGTGCTTGCTCCCTCTTATCCCTGGCCATCTTGGGAGTGACCTGTACTTAGGTTAGGGTAAAACTGTTAATATTCGTTTGGGTGTTGATAACAACCGCCAAACCCAAACGGTTGACGCGTGGTTTGATGATACTCCCATTATAACTGAACCCATTTTTATTCTATTTCATATCAAAAGCATCCAAAGTTGAATTCACATTTATGACATATTTACTTTGTTTATGTTATTCTGTAAGTTTCTATTGAATGTTAATAGTTTCATGGTGAAAAGCTCAATTGGAATTGATGCAAGTGACACTCGTATTGGTCAGTATGATATTCCACAGCGGTCATTTTTGGACGCAAGTCACATTCACACATCTCGCTTTTACTTATTCATTCCTCGAGTGTGCCCATACATACGGAGTAGAATTTTTTTCAAAATCAGTGTTATACAACAAAATCATTTGCAGCAAATAGAACACCCAATTGATATGATTATGTTTGGATATGGTTATACTAAAGACATAATACAAAATTAACATAGTGTAGTTTGCTGGTTTTAAAAGTATAGATCATCACCATTACAAAGATTGCCTCACGGCTGTTTATTGATTATACTCAAAACCAAACATTCTAGTTATTTTGCACGCAATTTATTTCATAATTTCAAAATTTGACATCTTATTCCTGGTTTTAAAAGTATATATCATCACCATTACTAAGACAAAACAAACATTCTAGTTATTTTGCACGCAATTTATTTCATAATTTCAATATTAGACATCTTTTTGCCTAACATGTCGAATGAAAGGTGGTCCTGGGTATCCACTGTCCTTGTTGTAGACAGCACACTGTTTGAAGGGGCAGGGCGACTCTCTCCAGGCGTACCGTATTGCAGACACCACCATGTCTCTAGATCGCAGACATAGTTGGCTGTAGTTGAGGGTCACTGATGTGTGGTCGTGTGAAGTAATAGGCATTGGAAACCATACTGAATTATCATCTGGTCGTGATGAACTGTTGGATGGAACACATGTCACCTAAAGGAAAACAACCACAATAACTAGAGAAATCACAACTTAATCAATAAAAATGAAAGGTCTCTGATTCAAACAGTTTACTCGTCAGTTGATTCATCACTTATGAATATTTGTCTGTACTTTTCATCAACCAGCTGTCATATTAACTTTGATCAGGAGACACACCATGATAATAGTTCTCAAACGCCATCACTGAGTGATGGCACAGAACAGGGACTGCTGGTCCCACCGAAGGATTCAGCAATTCTGTAGCAAGGTATTGGTGTATTTCCAGCATTGCTACAGGAACAAACGGGTTGATGCTTTTGACTCTCACTATATGTGTCGCAGTAGAACTCGAATATGACGGCCAAAGGCAACTCTTGAAATCCCTAGGATTACTGAGGGCATATTTGCTCTAAAGGGTCGACGGGGCGGTCGGGTAGCCTAGTGGTTAAAGCGTTCGCCCGTCACGCCGAAGACCCGGGTTCGATTCCCGACATGGGTACAATGTGTGGAGCCTATTTCTGGTGTCCCCCGCCGTGATATTGCTGGAATACTGTTAAAAGCGGCGTAAAACCATAGTCACTCACTCACTCACTAAAGGGTCGGCATTCGTTTAGAAATTAGCAAAATGTTATATATTTTTATATGAATGAGAACTAGCATTTGACCATGTTGATTTCAACACATGCTTGTTTTGGACTAATTGTGGGAAAAGGCTAAGGTTTTCAGTTTTAATATTTGAGCATAAGCCAGTATTTAACACAAGCTAATTGTATTTTAGGAGATACAGATAAAGACAGAACAAACGTGTCGTTACAAAATCTTCTCAGGTGACATCATAGATGTTGTTCAATTGCCACTTGAAGTTTTAACAATCGACCTTTATTCGCTCATATTCGACATACTTGAACATGCAAGTGTAAACAAGAGCTGCCACTAACGTGGCTAAATCCCCCGCCCCTGTTGCAGAATTAATGACATAATTAAATCTAAACAAGCCCTGCAAAGTTTGATGAAAAAATATTGAACGGTTTATGAGTTATGCTCCGGAAACGAACCCTACCCTAACAGAACCTAAGTCCATCTTGTTGCCATGGAAAAGTGTAAAAATAAAAAAATCTAAAATTTCTAAATAGCAAAGGGCACCAGTTCAGCATGTACCTGACAAACCTGTAAAGTTTGATGAAAAGATATTGAACGGTTTATGAGTTATGCTCCGGAAACGAACCCTACCCTCACATAACCTAAGTCCATCTTGTTGCCATGGAAACGTAAAAAATACAAATTTCTGAAATTTCTAAGTAGCAAAAGGCACCAGTTTAGCATGTGCTTGACAGACCTGCAAAGTTTCATGAAAAAATATTGAACGGTTTCTGAGTTATGCTCCGGAAACGAAACGTGACGGACGGACGGACGGACGGACGGACGGAGCCCGTTTCTATACCCCCCGCCAACTTTGTTGGGCGGAGGATAATAAGAAAAGGAAGTCCAATTGTGAACTATTTGAAGATGTTCATAACATTATTACACAGTTTTCCATAACTTTTAAATGTGAGATTCCACATATACATTGCCTTTGGAGTCAACATGTCACAACCATTCAGGTACAGCCACGCATACTCTTTCTGTGAAGGTCGGCTCACGAATCTTGCTTAAAGTTGTGTGACCGGGGTAACAACACAAAAGGCCTTAGAAAAGCTTTCGAAAGGTTTTATGGAAGAAATGGTGAGTACATTTCCAAATCTGACGCACCAGTGACAGAAACTATGTCGGATTTTGGCTTGTACTACATGTTTCAGTGTTTTGTGAGATGAACAATTGACTTGAATGTGCATGTTTTGATATGTGTGTCACAGGACAGGATACGCTCTCCCATGTGCGAACACCTAATATCATACTTATTTGATATTGATAGATTGAAAATCTGTATTTATTGATGAAATATAGTATTAATCTGAAAATATTACATTGATATCTCACTCAGGTGAAATATCACTTTATGCCGGAACTGTCTTAATGATACAATAATTTTTCAAAGAAACATTGTGAAGATCATTTAGAAAATGCATGTACATAATGCATAATTAACTTTTGTAATGTGGTAACATATGATAAATGTAATATATTAACCATTGTGATATACGTGCCACTCATCTTTGTCGGGTCACTGGATCAAATGCTTTTTGACAAGAAAATATAAGTATCCCCTATATATCGTAATACGTCACAAGCGAATGGAACCCAGAGCCAATGATTCCGTGTCATCAGGCAGTGCACAATTCTAAATCTAAGAAGAACCATCTACCCATTGGCAATACACACCAATAAAATTATCATTTCAGAGAAATATATGCAATATATAACAATTGTTTGGTTGACAAAAGAAAGAAAAAACACGAAGAAGCAATGGTCACTGACCTCAAAGCCTGATTTCGATCTAATTTCCAGAACTTTGTCATAAGTAATCTGTACGGTTTCTTCTTGCGCCAAGATTGTAAAATGAGACGGGTAGGGGCCATTGAGTGTAGAGAAGTGAGTTTGGTTGTAAGCCACAGCAAGTCCTGCTGTACACAGACGCATAGACACATCCTGCTTGTCCCGGGGATGGATACTAAAATAAAAGCACATCCAAAAACACACAATATCTTATCTGATTGTTACATATTAAGGCCAGTGTCCAGAGGACCGAGTCTAAAATGACACACATAGGGAAAGGCACCATCAGGGACTACTTGAAATGGTGTGAGGGTTTACTGAAAAAGAAATAACATTTGTACAACAATATGGCTTACAAATTGTTAGACATTCCACCTTTTTTTATGGTACTTATTGTACTGGGTTCAAATTATTTATGATACCTTTGCCAAGGAGATGAGAAGTCCGGCAGGTCCATGGCCACCGCCATAAAGGTGTTCTTCATCCTGGCGTTTGGGACGTAGCCATAGTCAGCTGTCTGGTGCCACCGAATGTCTGTGAAGCCAGTCATAGTGACGTTATTGTCTCGCCATGGAGCAAGCTTATAAAAAAGAATGAATAAATGAATACATGAATGCAAAATCACATGGACAACATGCTATTTCTTTGTTCGACACAAATTGTTTGCGTGAATATGATGACATATCTACGTCTGATTAAAGGCCAAATCCACATACTGATCTGTGAAAGTTTCGGAAGGCGAGTTATTCAACTATATTTCACAATATCTTCATGGCTTAACATATTTCAACCATCTACAGTTGGCCCATCTGATTTCTTATAAGCATGTTGGTGGTTTGTAGAGTACGGAACAACCCTGTTTTGTGTAACTTCTGGTGGGTGTTGTTATTCACAATGCCCCCAGAAAATCTTTGTCGTGATTTAAATTATTTGCCAGTTTGAAATTGCAAGGGTCGATGCTCGGAACACGCAAGTGGCATAAAGTATTCTGACATTTCAAGTTGTCACAGTCATAGAAGATGTACCTAAATACATGAGTGAGTGAGTTTGTGAGTATGGTTTTACGCCGCTTTTTGCAATACCCCAGCAATATCAGGGCGGGGGACATCAGAAATGGGTTTCACACATTGTACCCTCGTCAGGAATGGGGTCTTCGGCGTGATGCGCGAACGCTTAAACCACAAGGCTACCCTCTTAAATACATGAACGAAAAAAGGCAAACCTGAACAAAACCAAAGGGAAAAAGCGGGTTAGTTTGACCAAAGGAACTGTGGTGGAATCTATCTCTCCAGTCATCAATCATGGCGGGGAACGTACAGTTGTACCGGTTCATTGATGTAGGATGCGTGGCCTCGGACTCACCTGGAACAAAATATTGAGAAGAGAATAATGTTGGGAATTGAGTTTGCAAATTTGTACTCAATGACGTATGTGAAAAAACTCCCGTATTTTTTTGCACATATGATAGATTTATTAATACTTTGAGCGGGAGCATTATAGAGGATCAATGAAGAATTGAATAAAAGGCAGTGGTAAGAAATGGATCCATCGAATGTGTGTGTGTGTGTGTGTGTGTGTGTGTGTGTGTGTGTGTGTGTGTGCGTGTGTGCGTGTGTGCTATATAAAATCAACGCCAGTATGATCGGTTTTAATATCGTTTTGTTTTTACCTTGATACCATATGATTCCGTATATGGTCATGTTCAGGAACGGTCGCATCATGACATTCCACACAACAGAATCAGCATTTGGATCTATACCAGAAACATCACCAGCATCACTTACATCGCTTACATTACTTACATCGTATACACCACATTTCTTGAGAACATTGGGAGCTGACCACGCCTCCACTCGGGTTCCTCCGTATGGTGATGCTATGAGGCCGATGGGGTATTTGAGATGTGAAGACAGGTACTTTCCATATAACCAGCAGACATCCGAAAAGTACGACCAATAGGAACCACCAATGCTATCTTGATGTGAGAAGATGAAGAGAGTTAAAACTAGTTTGATCACTGAAGACATATTTGTCACACTGACAGAGGGGAAATCAAAATGATAAATTCTAACAACGATATTAGTTTTTAAGAATATGTTCAAGAGAACTAAGAGCTGATATTGATATATAGAGCATGGCGTTGCAATGTATGACCAGGAAACTCTATAGCAAGTGTTTACCTGGACTAGGAACAGACCAAGGTTCACTGATACCCGACAGATCCCATGCTTTAAACGGAGACGCCCCCAAGGCAACTGTAAATACCCGGATATTGGGATGGTTAAAGGCATCTAACTCCTCTTCCGTGGCATTGAAACCCTGTCGGAGACAACATGAATAACTGATTTATACAACACTTGGAACACTCAGAGAGCGAATGAGTTAGTATGATTACAGGTCACTAAGAACAGGACTTCAGGTATGTGATGGTGTGTGTGCGGAAGCGGGATTGAAAACCAAAATGACACTAGGTTGTAAACCTCTATCACTTTGGCAAACCCATAAGAACTGTTTCACATCACCACTATGACTTATAGTCTGAGGCACCAGTTACAGTTAGCTGTAGTTAGAATAATTGATTATTGTTCAGTCGGGTTCTTAGGGTTATGAGAACCTAGATCTGTAACAAATTGCCACAAGACCCAACCAATATATACCTCGTTGGTTCATGTTTCAGAACTGACACGTAGGAATATTAAAACAACAAGAGAGACACTTGCTTAGCACAAAGGGATAGCAACTGGAACTCACATTATGACTAGTAGTTTGTTTTGTTTGTTGTTTTACGCCGCACTCAGCAATATTAATATTCCAGCTATATGACGGCGGGCTGTATAGAATCGAGTCTTGACAAGACAATCCAGTGATTGATATCATGAGCATCGATCAACACATTTGGGATGGATGGCATGGTTCATCAAAGTCAGTGAGCCTGACCACCCGATACCGTTAGTCGCCTCTTACTTACAAGCATATCCGCCTTGTACGGCAAACATGGGTTGCTGAAGACCTATTGTACCCCGGATCTTCACGGGTCTTATTACTAGTAGACAGCAATGGACTCCATGTTGATATTTCGTTGAAGTAGAAAGCAGACAAACCTGAACACCACAACATGAGATTGTATACCTTTTTAATCAAGTCTACCATTGAATGTTTATATCTCTGTTTGTTACAACCTACCATGATTGAAACTGTAAACTGCATGTTGCTCTGACCCGAACATATCCAGACGTCCCCAAACAACACATCAGTTAAGCCAATGCTGCCCGCGCTAGATGTCGCTGTGATGTTGTAAGGCCCACCAGCATTGATGGCAGGAAGTTGAACTGACCACACATCAGCCGTCTACAAGACGCTAGGAAACACACAATGAGATCGATCCCTGCCTTATCTCCGCCAGCTTGAACTTTGTACTAACAATCTCGGGTAAGTGTTACAAGGTGAAACTATCTTCAAGAAAGTTAAACATACTTACAAGATAAATGTAAAACGTTCTGACACTTCTATCGACCGTTCTGTTCGATAGGGCAAATGAATTGAATAAAGAGAATATGGAGACAGAGATCCAGATTTAACCTGATAGTAAATTGCTGTAATTTGCAGTGACGACATTATGTGAAAGTGATGGTTGTGGTAGGGTATGGACACGCAGAACGAAGAAAATTTTAGAAACCAATACTTTCGATTTGGGAGTAGTGATTGGCTTAAACGGTAAAAAAGCAAAAGAACGGAATAAGATAAAATGATAAGCAATGACAGAAACAAGGACCACCGCACCATGTGGATAGAGCGTCTGTCCTGAGAGTCGGTTGTTCGATCCTTGGCCGCAGCATACTAAACGACGCTAGAGAGTGGGGTTTGTTGTATGTTAAACTTAGACATGGTAGCACTCTTAATTCGGCATAAGTCCAGATCAGTACAAGCAGACACACACACACACACACACACACACACACACACACACACACACACGTCGCTGTTGAAGTGCATTAATCTTGAATGCGACATTAAACCCCATTTTACCTCACCTCATCAGTCAGTTGTTAGTTCATTAAAAAAATGATCAACACAAAGAAGCTGCCACATTTTATTTCACAAGTTTGACATTATACATATCTGGCCTATATATACCTTTGATAAAGGGTGGGGCGGGATAGCCACTTTCCTTGTTGTAGACTGCACACTGTTTAAAGGGACACGGAGATTCACGCCATGCGTATCGTATTACAGACAAAGTCTTTGCTTTTGACCACGGACAGATCTGGGTGTAGTTAAGAGTTACTGAGGTAGCGTTATGCGACGTGATCGGAAGGGGGAACCAGCTGGTATCATCCGAGGCTCCAGATGTACGTCTTGATACGTTTGTGCACGTAATCTGAAAATGACAACCACGAAGCAATCATAAATAATAGATGGATTGTAAAAAATTATAAACCTACTGGCTGTTTGTGTAACTCGATGTGGAGTTTTTGAAATTGTGGTAACACCTCGTAGAAGGTATTACAACGATTGTAACACCTCGCAGGAGGGCTTACAATCATTGTAAACCCTTGATAGAACACAAACAACGAACAGCCTACGAGACGCACGTGCAGATCTAGATTTCGTGCCATTGCCAGACGCACGTGCAGATTTCGCACCGTTGCGAAACCCACGTGCTGATGGCACCGGTTTCATCGAACCGAGTTCACGACTGCAGGCGATATTTCATCTCCGATACAGGTTATACATTTGGGAGTTTTTATTACAGTTATTTAATTAAAAACGTTGTCTATGCGATGAGTCGGTTTATAAGTTGGACAAACCATGTCTCCTCGAGATTACTAGAGATTGTAAACCCTCACATTCGGGAACGTCCCTCATGTGAGGGTTTACAATCTCTTGTGATCCCTCGGAGACATGGTTTCTCCTACACATAACAGTTATCCAGATGCTATCTGCACAAATACTGATACTTTCATCTGTATTCTTAAGACATTTATAAGGCTGCCATGGAGGGCATATAGAAACTCCCTGACATTGATATCATCATTGTTAAGGGACAAAAACTGTTTAAGCTTCATTAGTCCAGTCGTTTCTGGGGAGAAGATGGTGACAGATGTTTACCGATGACTCCGATGAACAACCATATCATGACATGAACCCACATACAAATTGACATTAGTCAGGTGAGGTAAGCACCTGATCAGAATCAGTCGAAGGAAACCATCATTTACGTTTCAATGTTAAGTTGCCATTCCTTACAAGTTGTCACTATTACCAGGTCATGATTGTATTGGTTGTTTTAATTTGAACTAAATCAGTAAACGTGCTATCCTGTTCCTGGATTGTCTGGTCAGGACTTGGTTGTATACAGGCAGGCCGTCGTATGGCGAGAGAGGTTGGGTGCGACTTTAGGCAGCAAACAAACACTTACTTTTTCACACTAATGGTGTTTGTGGCGGGTGCTACGGGTAGACCAGGACATGCCTGCCCTTTTCGAGAACACCGGGTGTTATCACTGATTTTTCATTTGTATAATTCCATCACTATTTTACTCTTTACGCCCAATGAAATTTGTTTCGGCAGATAGTTGAGACTGTTTGTTCTCTGGAGTTGACGTTATATTTTGTTTGTTTGTTGGTATGTTGTTTAAGGTCGCACTTGCAATATTCCAGGCACATGACGGCGATCAGTAAATAATCGATCCTGGTCCAGACAATCCGGGGATTGACAAAAAGACATTATGAGCATCGCAATTGGGAAACGATTAGATGCATCAGCCAAGTCAACGAGCCTGACCACCTGATCCCGTTAGTCGCCTCTTACGACAAGCTTAGTCGCTTCTTAAGGCAAGACTTTTAACTGGTATCTTCACTGGTCAATGGTATGACATTATATGTTGATTACCTCAAAACCGCTTGTTGATCTAATTTCCAGAACTGTTGTTTTGTTGTCGTAGTCTATCTGTAGAATGCCGTCGGCCATCCAGATTGTAAACCAAGAAGGTAAAGGACCGTTGAATTTGGAGTACCGAGTTTGGTTGTAGGCCACAGCAAGTCCAGCTGTACACAGACGCATAGACACATCTTGCTTGTCCCGGGGATGAATACTGAAACGGACATGTATGGTATTCCATGATAAATATGTTCTTTTCCTCACAAATAATGTGTACATTGTGCATGCGGAATATTGGTGTGTGATACAATCTTAGAGGAAATCTACACAAGTTGGTCTTTACCCTGTATACGGAGACGAGAAGTCCGGCAGGTCCATGGCCACCGCCATGAAGGTGTTCTTCATCCTGGCGTTTGGGACGTAGCCATAGTCAGCTGTCTGATGCCAACGAATGTCTGTGAAGCCGGTAGTTAGGGTATCGTTGTCTCTCCATGGTGCCAGCTACATACACACATGTTAAATGTATTTGTAAGGGGACAATTGTCTTTTCAGTGAGGATTGAGTGAGTGAGCATGGTTTTACGCCGCTTTTAGCAATATTTCAGCAATATCACTGCGGGAGACACCAGAAATGGGCTTTACACATTTTACCAATTTCGAGAATTGAACCCGGGTCTTCGGCGTGACCAGCGAACGCTTTAACCACTAGGCTGCTCCACCGCCCCTCAGTGAGAAGTGACAAAAGATATTTTAATTGAGCTTTTATTTCTTACAAGACAAACGTTACTAACGATTTTGAAACTTGCACTTACAACAGGATGGTCTTATTAACAACGGTTTAAAAAAAATATGGTATCTTGAAAGAGAATTGTTGAGAAGTATAATAATTATGAACAATTTTAAGATACTGAAAGAATAAATTACATTGATTTGTTTTTGTTTGTTAATAATTCAAATTGTTCCAATATCTTTTGGGATTCTTTTATTTGTATTAACCAGTTTTTCTCACTTGATTTAATTTAACATTGAATAGCCAACATCTTAATAACACAAGAATAAAACAAATATTTCAACTACAATGTTTGTCGTAAGGCCAAATACCTCATATATATCCAGGGTATTTGAAGATGAGAAACGGTAATTGATAACACACTGGTCGCCAGCATGACATAAGAAATCCACACAATTTTTCACACAATCTCAACAGGGCTCAAGGCATACGCCTTTTTTAGATAATCGCTAGTTTTGAAAGTAGTAGCGAATCTAACCTGTACAAATCCAAAAGGAAAAGCTGGGTCTGTTTGTCCTCCTGATCCTTGGTGGAACTTGTCTCTCCAGTCATCTATCATGGCTGGGAACATACAGCTGTACATGTCCATTGTTGGAGATCCAGCATTGGCTTCACCTGGTCACAGAATATTGACACACATATCAAACTGGTTCTTATTCTACAACACTCTTTGGGTAACAAATCCCAGTCAGACACTATTCCCGTGAAGATCCGGGGTAGAATAGGTCTTCAGGAACCCTTGCTTTCCCTAAAAGGCGACTATGCTTGTCGTAATAGGCGACTATGCTTGTCATAAAAGGCGACTAACGGGATCGGGTGGTCAAGGCTCCTGACTTGGTTGACCTCTTCCGAGCTTGTTTGGATTGGTGTTCATGATGTCTGGTCCAGATTCAATTATTTACATGTAGCTGTAATATTGTTGAATACGGCGTTAAACAACAAACAAACAGCAATCAACAACAGTCAGACACTAGTATTATGTCCGGTAACGTACAAATTGGACTTGTTCTTTGCCTGATCTACGGGAGGTTTGTACAAAGCAGGGAGAATGGTTGGACGTGCCGGAAAGTTTGGTACGGCATTACAAATGAAATTCATCTCCGACCAATGAAAAATGCAGAAATATTTTGCCTATTTCTATTTTCATTCTCTATCGAGAACAAACGTATATGCTCCAAAGAATCCTGTTTAGACAGATCTAAAGAGCAGTGACAAACATTATACTAACCCTGATACCAAATGGCTCCATATATGGTCATATTCACGAATGGTCTGGCCATTGCGTTCCACAGAACTGAGGGTGAATTCGGGTTGACATCCCCGTTCTTATTTATCGCTGATACGCCACATTGCTTGAAAACATCGGGACCTGACCACGCCTCCACTCGGGTTCCTCCGTATGACGTCGCAATGAGGCCGATGGGGTATTTGAGATGCGACGACAGGTACTTCCCGTATAACCAGCAGACTTCCGAAAAGTACGACCAAGCCGGTCCATTGACGGATTCTTGAAATCAACTTTGATGTTATCCGTTTATTCAAACAGTTCACAGTTACAATTTATAAATGGTAAAAACATATACGTTTATACATTCCGGGTTAGGATAGGTCACCAACAATCTATGCTGGTCTTGAGAAGGGACCCCATTGGCAGGGTAATATGGCTAGGTGATTTGGTTGATTGCGAGTCATCGTACCCCGAAGATGTGGATTGGTGTTCATAATATCAATCACTGAATTATCTTAATAATGTACAGGCAGACGCCATATGACTGTACTTTTGCTGGGTGCGGCGTTAAACGACAACTCTCTCTCTCTCTCTCTCTCTCTCTCTCTCTCTCTCTCTCTCTCTCACACACACACACACACACACACACACACACACACACACACACACAATCAACCAAGATCCTCATTTTTGATGGCTCTCATGCCAAGCATGCAATAACGCACACCTATGCGTAGATACCCGTTAAACGTAGTATATTAATGTGTATACCGATTGTCAGCGTGACGATCAGATGCTTTGTGAAAATATTAATATTTCACAAACTTTTCATATCTTAAACATATTCCCTTACCATTATTAGGTACAGACCAGGTTTCATTGACATTCAAAAGATCATATTGTTCCACCGACGACCCTCCCCAAGCCACAGTAAACACCCGGATGTTGGGATGATTGACAGCATCTGCGACCTCTTCCGAACTGTTAAAGCCCTGGAAATAATTAAATACATCGCACCATCTAATGATGCATTACCAGTAGCACTTTCCAGTGACACACGGAAAACATTTCTATGAGAATACATTTTTTAAACCCACTGTCTGCACCATGCAATGTGAATTGGGCAACAAGGTTTTCAAAATCCCCAAATCAGGAACTAATTTTGGTTGCATTAATAGTCAAAGATACCAAAACACCTAGGGCATCTGTGGCCCAGCCATCTAAGGCGCCACCAATTCGCAGAGTTAATCGTCGCCAGTATCCTTTGTTCGTTGGTTCAAATCCTAAATTCGGCATGATTGTTGTCTGTAAATTTCTCCAGTGCTCCTGTGGTTCACGTCTTTAGCCTGCGTTAGTTTGAGCTTTGTTCCCTATTAAGCTGATCTTATCCGCGTTAAACTAATACTAGACCAAGCACCGACTTCCAACATCTAGACAACCATTCTGTAAAACTACTCTTGATAGATATAATTATCATATAATGGATAGGTTCCTCGGCTGGATAAAGCCAACAGATAAAAATGATTTAACCATCGGGAATCTGGAGAAACTACTGGGATAATTGCTATCGTTATCAAAAGAATAGTCTAGTATACTGAAAATTAGTGTCTAACTGTAGCGTACATGTAGCTAAAGCAATTTACAAGTTTTGTAACTGTAGATGTAAATTGCGAAACAATTTAGCGGGGACACTAGGCTGGCATTGTAGACCTCTGCAGCTTGGAACTTTTTACCCAAATTAAAACAGTTAGATTTGTCCCAAATATATATGCCCAGATTGTTACCTTGCTTCGTTTTGTCGCTGCACTTCGTAACATTGTGACAGGACAGGCAGACTCTAATCAAACGTGACGTCTCATAAACTAGGTTCAGAATAGCTTCCCTTTGATAAAGGACTGTTACTCTAGCGGACAGACCGATCAATTGCCGCGAAAGGCAAGTCGAAACAATTTGTGTCGGCAATTGTTGTTTTGCCTATATGTAGTTACGCCACTGTTTAAGAAACATGTTTCAGTTGGAGCTATATTGACTGTTGTCACTGTCCGACAGACACGTCACTTTCCTTCGGGCGTAATATATACTAAAGGGTACATTGCAGGAAAAAATGCAAGGTTTAGGTAATGTTTGTGAGAGACGCTAGAGTTAGATTTTTCGAGCACATAACTGAAGAATGACATTATATGTTAATGACGTTATCACGTTTGTATGTTTGGGGATGGTAAATATCTCTCCGATCAGACGCTCTATCCACTGGATCAAGGTGGGGTTCATAGGTTACAGTGTTGTTTCATATCATCTTGATATATAACAGATATTATAACCTTGAAAAGTATGACTTATCTTATTTAATGTCACTAGCCATACAACAATGTAGGTAGGTAAATGATCCTCATGGTGTTTACATAATGCATTGAATTATACACATGTCTGTTAGTCCAGATACCATATATCGGTGTATGATCTCTGGTTAGTCTCATACACAACTTACCATATTGAGTGTAAACTGCATGTTGCTCTGACCCGAACATATCCAGACGTCCCCAAACAACACATCAGTTAAGCCAATGCTGCCCTCGCTAGATGTCGCTGTGATGTTGTAAGGCCCACCGGCATCGATGGCAGGAAGTTGAACTGACCACACAGGGGTTGCTGCCATAGGTCCATTAAAGGATGTTGTATGCACCTGTCCCTTACCACTAATGTTCAATGTAATTGTCTCCCCTTCTTTTGAAGCATAGCCCCAGATTGCAGCTTTCTTAGGCGCTTGTTGAAGAACCATGTGGTCTCCATAGTAACTTGCGAAGGAGAATGGTTTCGCTTTCAAGGTCTCTGTAATGAAATAATACTCATCTGCGATTAACATCTTAGCTTTTATCCGTTTTGAAATTGGTATGAATATTCTGTTAAAAAACCCCGGATCTTCGCTCTCCAGGCTCACCACTAGACCACGGAGGCGGTCGGGGACTAAAGAAGTTTCAATATAATATGTATTACACCATGCTTTCAACTGGATTGTCTTTCAAAGCGTTGGACCGTGAAGATTCGAGTTAGAATTGATCTTCAGCAACTCATGTTTGTCTTAACATGCGACTATGCCTGGCGTGGTCAGGCTCGCTGACTTGCTTGATGCATGTCATCGTATCCCAATTGCAAAGATCGATGCTCGTGATGTCAATCACTGGACTGTCTGATCCAGACTCGATTATGCACAGACCGCAGTCATATAGCTGAAATATTGCTGAGTGCAAATCCAAGCGTTGTTAAACCCAACTCGTTCATTCTCTAACACGTGTTTCTGCGCATGTGCGAACCAATACGATTAGTTTCATTTACCTGTTTCCGCCTCAATAACGATTACTTGGGCCGCCAAATAGAACCATATGATACCTACACTAAACACACTCCTCCACAAAGCAACTGCCATTGTTGTCATCGATGTGAGGTGTGTTTGAACAGACGTTTACACAACATACGATAGACTGTAACACAAGTACTGCTATCTCTACTCCTGTATATTGGGCACAGATGACACTATCTCAGCCTTTGCTAAGGTGCCATGTGTTTGTTTTCGATTTGTTGCAATCTAAGTCACGTGTACGTATACCCTTCACTGACAACAGTAATGCCAAATTTTATCCCATTACGTCACATTCAATAGAACTGAAACGTGCACGAAACGCATCGAGGACATAAGAGGGAGCTAACTTTTGACGGAGAGATTACTGAAAATCACTGGCTATGCATTATGCAATTAAAATCGTTTCCAATATTGCCCAAAATGAAGAAAACTGATGTAACACTGTGTGAATTGTATTGTTATGTGGCAAAAGATGTAGTATTATGATTGTTAGTGGCAACAGATTGAAATGCTGAAAAAATGTCGTGTGTTCTGTGTTGTTTCTCGTAAATTAGAGTGACTTCCCATTGTTGTTTACAATCCAAGCTTTGTCCCAGCGCTGCACATCTTCGTCATCTCGATATAGAGAGCTCCGCTGTGAGGAGCTTGTTTACAGTTGTTGATTCACTTCCGGGAAGTACCACCTCAAGGAGCAGCTTCGCGAGGTAACTGTTACCAGATATTAACCACTGTTGGCGCTACGATCGAACTCTGAAATTCCAGCCTAGTTCGGCAAGGGTGAAAACTGGAATTTTACAGTCAGTTAACTCCCTTGCCTCGGGTTACCTATTGCATAACACCGAATTTTCTGCCTGCTGCCAACACTTTCCTGCGTTCAAGAATGGCATACGTGCCTCACTCAAGACATTCGATTGTGACAATTTCTGGACATTCATGAGTGACTTCTGCAAGAGTGCCTGATTTTTCTTGCTGCCTACACATATTGTATATATTGACCCACTGTGTTGCCATTTCAACGTTTGTGACGCTGAACATAAACCTGTGTCTCAATAATATTTGTCGATTATTCATTGATCCTGCGTGTCTTTATACTGATTTCACATTTAGTTCTGTACGTACCAATTTCAGCGTAAACCTTCGCGTTTCTACTTTTGGAATCAACTCGTTACAGTATATGCTTCAGCTAACCAGGAAAAGAATTATTCGACATGGAACACATCCAGCAATTGACCTAAACAGCACATTGTCAAGTTATGATAATACAATATTCGACAATACATACATTCATGTACACGATGAAATGATAGATTCTTATAGTTAAATATTTAGTATTGTTTTAGATTTTACCGTGTAGCAGCTATGTTGGTACTTTTGAAGAAACATTACGGTAAAAGAAAGATCGTTATCGCAAGGTCACCATGTGGCAAAAGTGTGCTATTCTGCCGACATGAAGAAATGCGTATCTTTCTTTTTGTTGGTATTTCCATGCATTGGATATACGTGTGCATGTAAGTATTAAGGTGTTGATGTTATTGATACCATGGAGAGCTGTTATGGCATATTTTGGTGATTTTTTTGTGTAAAACGCCGCTTTAAAAAGTATTGCAGTTATATCGCGGCGAGCCAGCTTATTGTGAGAGAAAAGCCTGAAGATATGCAGGCGTTTTACCACTTTGGTTGAACCAACAAGCACGGTATTGTGTTGACAAACCCAGAAATGTAATCAGGGAGAACAAAGATTCGAACCCACGAGCTAAGGTTTATGATACACCTAAGGTACTCAACTGTGTATAGCCAGGTTCCGCGCCTTACACCACAGTTCCGCCCGTGTCCTATAATTAATTGTAATTTTGTTAGTATTTTGTTTTGAAATTTACGAAACAAACGTCATAAAATAATTTTATTTATTTCCGAGGTAGCAACGCAAGGGCTTTCCCACCGAAACTTGAGTTTCGCTAGTTACTATGGTGACCACATGGTTTTACAAAAAGCCCCAAAGAGAGCCAACATCTGGGGTTATGCATCAAGAGTCTCGGAGATTGTGCGTATCTCTCTTGACGCCACACCGCTTGGCACAGCAAGGAGTAGGATGGGCCCTTCTCCAGGGACGAATGTTTGGTCATTCCAACTTCCGGAAACGGCGCCTGGAGGGCCCCACACACTCACTGCAGAAACCAGTCAAGAGAGGATAACTCTATCTGATGTAATGTTCGGCGATGTGTGGATCTGTTCCGGGCAGAGCAACATGCAGTTTACCTTGAATATGGTAAGATGGAAGCCATGGACAGCGCATCCTGGTACATTTAGCAATATGTGCCCCATATACCTGGAATGTTGGTTAATGTACACCATAATGGGGGCAGAATAGGTTATTTTCACTAAGTAAAACGACAAAGTACTTTCGATTTGATAATTTTATAAAATAAAAAGAATACATGTCTTCATGGTTCTGCTTTCAAAAAGGTGAAACATTTTGTTTCAAAGAAATGTTATTAATCCACAAACAGTTAGCCTACCAACTACATAGTAACTGAAACATACACATCAGTAACTTGTAATATGTTGTAAAAAAACTGGTGTTAAACCAAATTCACTCACTCACTCACTTATTTTTTCAAGCAGCTCAACTATATATAGATTTCAGTAATAAACATGACATTAACTTCACGTGTGTCATGTAGAGGAGATGCTATTTGACAGGCATTTAATGCTTCTGAGGAGATGGCTGATGCCGAGAACCATCCAGATATCCGGGTATTTACAGTAACACTTGGAGGCTCTAGTACCCCTCAGTACGACCTACTGTCCGTGGAGGAGACATGGTCGGTACCCTCTAATGGTAAGTGACATTGCCCACTTAACACAACTCGTAATCATCGTGTTCATTAGAAAGAAGAATACATGAGTAAAAAGCAGCACATTTTCAAGCAAATTATAGCAGCGCTTTTGTGTACTTGTTAATAGCTTCTTTTCGTTACCACAATTTCTGGTAATGCTTAATCTCCACATGGGTAGGAGCGTCGAATGGCTTTACGTTGCTTTAAATTAGGTCGTGTGTGTGTTTGCAGAAAGCCTTGGACATTCGCCATGGTCGTACTTCTCTGGTGTGTGCTGGTTGTATGGGAAATACCTCTCATCCACCCTAAAATATCCTATCGGTCTCCTGGCAACGTCTTATGGAGGGACACGTGTAGAGTTGTGGTCTTCTCTGGATGCTCTTAAGAAGTGCAACATGGACAGCAACACGCTCAGGTCGGCCATCACGTAGCAGGTGTCGTTAGACATGACATTATTGTATAATGTATTACAAATGGCTCACATAGATTGCTGTAACGATAACAACAGCATGCCTTACACCCAAGCGATACTCTAAGAACATGAACTGCTTATTAGTGTCAAGTGGGTGAGTATTGTTTTACTCCGCTTTTAGCAATATTCCAGCAATATCACGACGGGGAACGCCGGAAATTGGCTTCACATATTGACCCATGTAGGGAATCGAACCCGGGTCTTCGACGTGAAGAACGAACGCTTTAACCACAAGGCTACCCCACTGTCCTTTAAGTGTAAAGTATCACTAATAGTCACATCAGAAACTCAGTTTGATTCCATTGATGATTAAAATGGTCTTTCTAGGTCTACAGACCTTGAGAAAATAGTTCATATATATCACCATATCGCTGTATATATTAACAAGTTAATGACATTTATGCAATATAAGCATGTCATTTCAGGGTCGGAACAAATTCAAGACAGGACCATGATGCAATGGGTTTCTCGTCACTTTGGAACGCAATGGTCAGGCCGCTGGTGAATATGACAATATACGGAACCATTTGGTATCAAGGTTAGTTCACAGTTTAGAGTTATTTTAGCGCAACGTTCTGATGAATACCTGGAATGAATCTGTCATAATTATATTTCTGCATAGGAGAAGAATAAAGTCAGAAGGAATGTAGGCCTTGTTTGGCAAGTGCATTATGTGATCGGACGTGTAAAAGCCAGACCAGTATCTGAATGTCGGTATAAGACATGATTGTAGATATCATGCTAATGCAGACAAACATCACTGGGCCCGCCAGATATAAATTACCAGCCTTTAGTCCATCACACCATGTTAAGTAAATCGTAAATAAAGTAAACTCAGAATATCTTGTTCATACACAAATGTTTGGCTTGAAAGTATTTGTTAAAAAATTATATCAATGATTCCTAACCTACTGTAATTGTCAGTCATGGTCGTAAGCAAAATATGAATATTTTAGGAGAATCCAATCGCCATGCAGACACTGGTGTGTCTACCTATGACTGCACGTTCCCCGCCATGATAGACGACTGGAGAATGAAGTTCTCTCAAGGATCGGGGTCTCAAACATCAGATGTATTTCCGTTTGGCTTTGTACAGGTAGTCTTACATAGCATCAATAGCTTAATCAATATCTATCATGACACAAATGCTTCTTTATGTATAAGCGTATCGCGAGATACATGCCTTCTAATAGTTTCTTTTTCTATACATATCCAGCTTGCCCCATACAGAAACAATGACACCATTACTACCGGCTTCACAGACATTCGGTGGCACCAGACAGCTGACTATGGCTACGTCCCTAACGACAGGATGAAGAATACCTTCATGGCGGTGGCCATGGACCTGCCGGACTTCTCGTCTCCGTATACAGGGTACCCACGTGTATCTATCTGGTGTTATAACATTCAGTCTTAGTAGATGTTGCTTTGTAATTTACTATTAAATTACTGACGTAAGACGTTACTTACTTAACTTGGTAAACGTCTATATAATGTTAGTATCACTTCCGGTTTGGTTCTTACTTTGTTAACAGTTACTATGTCCATCGTCATTTCCAATTGACTTTCATACTAACGTGTATTCAATTTCTTTATTCAACGTACTGAGGAGGCCACAGGCCTATAGTACAATCATGATTACAGGAGCAATTGGTACAATCATATACGTTCCAAACTTGATTTTCTTTGTTTAAAAGCATGATATATGTACATAGAAATATTTCTTATGGTTTCGATGTTGCTAGTGGTCAGTAATAGTTTAAACTTAAATGTACAATGGTTTATATGAAAATATTTTGGTAAATATACTTTTCTTAGTTCATCATAATGCGGACATACTAGTAAAAAGTGATACTCGTCCTCAATTAATCCTAGGTCACATAGTGGACAGAGTCTATTTTCTCTCGGAATATTTTGATATCTACCTTTTTCAATTAAAAGATCGTGTGAAGAACATCGGAACCTTGCAAGTGCTACCCTAAATTTTCTAAGGCTAACACTGAAAAGGTATAACGTGTATTCAAATACAAATGAAAAATATTTTTCTGGTAGAACTCTGTTGTGCTTCCGGGGTCGGACAAGGCTCCTAGTCCCCAGTTAAAAGCGACTAAAATGGGACTCTGATCTGTGACATAGGGTCGCATCCCAGCATCTGAGGATCGTTGCTCATTCCTCGATGAGTCGATAACATGCTGGTCATTGTCAAATATCTGGAATTTTGCTGAATGCCCTGGTAATCAACATTCGCTAAGAAATGATTGAGGAAGCTTAGATAATATAATATAGATCAATATGATAATACGATTTGAATATAAACTAACTGATGGTTACGTGAACATTAATTACCTTCAAAACAGTATTCATCCCCGTGACAAGCAGGACGTGGCACAGAGGTTGTGTACAGAGGGCCTGGCTGTCGCCTACAACCGAACGGAGATGGTGAACCTGCGTGGACCTTTCCCTGCAGCGTTTCGTGTACCCTCCGTTGACAACAGAACACTTGTCGTAACCTATAATAATCAACCAATGGGAATCGAAATAAGATCGAATGATGGGTTCGAGGCAAGTGTCATGTGTTAACCACTCATTCAATTATGATCATTAATTTATTGATATAATTATATTATAATTATTGTAATATAGATAAGCCAGAGAGCGGAAAACCGGTGGTCGCACCACCGTCATGCCTAAAGACGTTAAAAGATGGTACTTGTTGTTATCACCTGACGCTCATCAGTAAGGGGTCAAAACAAAGTCAGTATATGTTTGAGTAGGGAGCCGGTATAGATCCAGACTAGTAAACTTTAACTCAAAGCTTTTGTGTATTTAGTAGAAAAAATGTAATTAAATCTAAATTGTTGGTCTAATCAAATATTTCTATTTTTACTCTTCCTTTGGGATCTAGTGATAGTTTGACTCCAAAGCAATTGGGTAAGGTTAGGTTCTGATCTTGTCAGCAGTTAGGCAGTGAAGGCAACGGAGATTTCTCCAGACAGTTGATTGATGGCTGTTGTTGTGATTATGAAAGGGTTACAATTATCAATTTGCGTGATAAGAAAAATAAGCAGTAAAATATATATTTAATTATTTTTTGATAATTAAATGTTTCTGATTAAAGATGATTTGTAGATATTAATAAACAGATTCTAACAATAAAATCCGTTTCAAGACACGTTCATTTTTTATGCCAGGTCTGCTGTATTCAAACTCCGACAACTGATGTGTCGACCTACTGTGCTCTGTCTGACGATGTGTGGCGCCCCGCACCCATACAGAAGTCAGATACTACGTCTGTGACGCTCTACTACGGGCAGGCATGCAACTCTCAGGAGAAGCCCTCCATTGGGGCTATACGTTATGCATGGAGGGAGTCGCCATGTCAGTTCAAGAAGTGTGCTGTGTATAACAAACTCAGTGGTTATCCCGCTCCTCCATTCCTCAGATATATTGTGTAGTGGTTTTATAAAACTCCAAGTCTTCAGAGCATTATATTTTAGGATACGCATCTGTACACACCATTTATAAATGAATTAACCTTCAATGTATGAGTTGTCTCTTTTCAAATCATGTTACCTCCGGATCCACAACATTACATCACAAGTGTATTTTCAGTGCAACGAATACCCATTCAAAACATGTTGAAATAAATAGTGTATATCTATCATAAAAGCTCTTTATATATTTACAATACGCGAGATTCCGGGTTAGAACTGGTCCCCAGGAACATCGCATGCTTATAGCTGGGTAATGAAACATGTAGGGAGTCTCTTAACACGTGTGTCCGTTTACAAACGTTCATATATTCCTAATGAATATAATCTCATATCAATTTCAAGTAGGATATGTACAAATTTTGTTTATCAGTGATAACGTAATATACAGCACTGTTCAAATCTGTTAAAGCGAGACTAATTGTTTGATTGTGGTATTTTTTGTATTTATAAGGAAAATACAAAATTATTGCATGTTCAATTTGGTAAAATATTGAATAGTGATTATGAACATGATAACCATTTCTTCTTATTTTACAGGGGCAATTTTGTCAAATCATTTCGATTCAAAACCAAGATGTCAAAATGCAATAAACTTCTGTGTTTGGACTATTTTTAAAAATAGTTAAAAAGTTTTAATGTCAAAGCAATAAGTGGCCTCCGAAACGATAATACTCCTATATCAGTCATTATTCTTGACAATATGCACACTCATTTGACAGAATGTAAGTTTCATTGAATCAAACTAAGCGAATCAGGAGTCCAGAAGTAGACTGCGAGCGAATGCCTGCCTTCCCGTGGCCCTCGTGTTATCAACCCTCGATTACACTTACTACCACTAAAGTATATACCGCCCGTCAGCTACCCTTGCATATTATTAACTACAGACAATCCTGTTGTATTTTCGAGCAAGGACAACTTACCTTTTGTTTCAATATTAAAATTGAGAGTAGACCCAAAGTTCCCTTTCACGTCCTTCAACCTGGAAGATAAATTGCTGTGATATTGCTTGCAGGTAGAAAACTGTAAGTCCTTACAATGACTCAACTGCTACATTTTGACACCAGTTCTTGCTGACACGTTGGAGTTGTATAGTTCTTGGTCAGTTTAAATTTGTACAGCTGGGTACTGAAGTAACAGGGCGGTCGGGTTGCCTAGTGGTTAAAGCGTTCGCTCGTCACGCCGAAGACCCGGGTTCGATTCCCTACATGGGTCAATATGTGAAGCCCATTTCTGGTGTCCCCCGCCGTGATATTGCTGGAATATTGCTAAAAGCGGCGTAAAACCACACTCACTCACTCACTGAAGTAACATATTTGGTAGGGGTGACTAATGAGGCGTTTTTGACCATTGCGATACTTTTGCGATAGTTAAAACAACTATTGCGATACTATTGTGATAGTGGCCCTACTATTGCGATACTATTGCGATAGTTTTCACTTGCAATTATAGCAGGCTTTAGCAACATATATTTCTGCATTTTGACTGACACCATCAAAATAATTATAACTTTCTGATACTATTTGTAAAGAAAACAAGAAATGAAAAGAAAACAAGTTCAAATTGACCTCTCAAAAACATTTTAATACCAAATTCCACTTAATGTAGATTCTAACTGGTAAAATCTTAGGTTACTGCAGTGTTTTAGCACCAATGTGAATGAATGTGATTGAATGACTAGTAGTTGACTATACAAACTGTCAAATTCTTTAATTGTCACATTGGCATTCACTGAATGACTAAATGCGATTCAACATATCAATTAGGAAACAAAGTTGACAAAAGTTGCATAAAAGTAGACAGACTCATCTGGCTTCTGACTCCTAACAGCAATAGTGTGCTTGAATAAAACATTATAAAATACTAAAATAGGACATGATATCACATGAAAAGATGATTGATTGCACACGTTTTGGCGTCGAGGTACTGGTACTACCACTGACTGAAGACCGGGATCCCCCTTTTTCACTTGGACGAATATCTTGGTGCCGTCTTGTCAAGTGGTCGGTCAGATTAGTAGTATTTCCAGAATACTTTAGAATTATCCGACAGATTCTACAACTTACTTTTTGCTTGTCTGTCTCGTTTTGCGTTTTGACAAAGCTAAAATGGTCCCATACCCACGATTTGCCTGCCTTATTGGCGACAATTTCAAACTGACATGTGGCGTCCGCCATCTTGTCAATGTTGCCTAGCGACGAGTAGCTAAAGGGCGTAACTCTAAATCAAGCAGACAAAGTAGTGCAATCCAAACGAAAGCACGACAGAGGTTAGATGATCATAGGAGTTGTTTCTAGTTTTTAAGAAAGTAAATGTACCAAACAAATTAACTATCGAAACTATCGATAGTTAGACAAACTATCGCCAATAGTATCGATTGTTTCAAGTTGCAATCGATAGTGTACTATCGTGAGACAAGCAATCGCAATCAATCGATGGTTCGATGTATCATTACACCACTAATATTCGGAGAGCTTCTTTATAGAACACGGTCGCATAGGTTGTCGATTCGTAACACTCGGTAACGCGGTCTGTCCACGACCTGGAGGAGGAAGGCTGCAGGGACGTGTCAAGTTTGTTGTATAGGACAGCGACGAGAGTGAAGTTTAACACTACTATGGTCTGAAACATGGTCTGTAGAAGCAATGTTAGGTTAGATGTTAATATGTGTGATAATAATCATAAAATGTTTGGAACATTAGGCATTGAACCTTTATGAACCTGTATGTCTGTTGATATATGTGTAACAATGTCCAATGTCCATCAAGAAAGATCAAGGTATCTGTGTTCCAATTATATTTAAGGGATGACGTGGGACTTTTGTGAATTCATCTTGTAAGACCCGAGCCCTGTCGATTATTTCACGCGGGATAAATAATCCATAAGTCTGCGTTGCGAGTAGGTTACACACTAACTTACCCATAAATGTCGAAATATTTCTTGATTTATCTCACTTAGTCTTTTGGAACTATGACGTCTTGAACAATGGATGACACATTCCATTTCTTTATACAACGTCATATACGTGACTTGGAAGGGTGAGTGAGTTGGGTTTAACGCCGCATTTAACAGTATATCAGTTACATGTATATCGCGTCGTGTCAGCTTAATGTGGGAGGAAAGCCTGAAGTGATACAGGTCTTAGACGTTTACCACTTCGGTGAAACCCACGAGCACGGTTATGGTGCTGATAAACCTAGAAACATAATCGGGTCAAAACGGGATTCGAACCCACAATCATAGGTTTCGGGCGTGCCCAAGGGACGCAACTTTGCACAGCGATTCGCGGCGCCTTAGACGACTGGGTCACCCGTGCCCCGATTATGATAGAAGGGATTTCTACTCTACAACATAGGACAACATATTCACCATGTTCTGACACAAACATTAAAACCAGAATGTGCCTTTGAAAGTTTGAAAAGTGTTGCTTTTACAAATCATACTCTGTGTGATACAAATGAACACAAATGTTTCCTGTTTTGGTTGGTGAGCCTCATATTTTTAATGTAAGAACTGATGGAAGTTGATGTCACTTCATGATATTTGTGGTGAGAAGGACCGTTGCAATCATCAGGGTGATATATGTAAACAACTGTGACTGTACGTGTACCCCTTGTATGTGTAATGGAATTACAGTACAATTTATTACTGCGGGTGTAATTAAGATGTGATCATATGTATCAGCCGCCAGTTATGTGCATTCCATCTTAATGTTATGCATTGATGTTGTCATTAGAGTTAATATTTAAGGTATTTCTTCATTTCTGAGAACTAATCCTTGTCGAAATACAATGTAATTAACTTCTACTGAATCTTAAAAAAACCCTAATGCAATACAGGTATAATCATTGTTTAACTTTAATTTACACTGTCATATAACAGTGTCATATGTGCATTAGAGGATCTTATCAATAAGGTAAGTGTTTCAAGTATTATTGAAACACCCGCGTTATGTGCATTCCAACTTATTGGTATTGTTACTCACCGGAGGAAATCGTACGCGTTTATATTTGAGGACAGGTACATGTATTAGCATTATATCTTGATTGATAAGTATTGTTGTGAGCTGTCGTTATAGAAGCTAATCACGTTACCTTATACCGCCATATTATGTATGCATTATAACAGAGCGTTAGATCTATTGACATCACCCAGTCCTATTACCTAGTTATTTGGACGGCCAGTTTTATGTCTCCCCACTACAGAACCGGCCTGTACCAATGTCTGTCAATAGATTAACGTTTGAATAGCGACCAAATTGAAATGCCACTACTTCGAAAAGGGCACGTAATAGAGCGTGGGAAAAAACGACAAACAACACTGATTGAATTCACATAAAACATGACTGAGAAACAACTTGCTTCTGGTTGCTCAAGAACGCAATGTTTCACATGGTCATAACCAAATGAACTATAATTAATTAGAATTACTTCTATGGTTCGATGCATTGAAGTCAGTCTCTTTGTGATGGTATTCATTTCACTGGCTCTTAATCTTATCAATGTGTTTATTTTTACAGGCGCTTCACTGTGGCATGCTTTTATTTGTGTAGAATGAACGTATGATGTCATTTTCGATAGGGAAACGTTTTTGTCATTTGTCGTCTTTCCATCTTGGTTCAGCCGTCTCCGTGGTCCAGTGAATCAAGCGTCTGCCCGGAGAGCGTAAGGTCAATGGTTCCATCCCCGGCCGCGTGATTTTAAGAGAAGGGACTTGTTTTTATCCTGCCTGGAGCTCGACATTCAAGGGATCAAACAAGGACTTTTCAGCTCTGAGCCAGTTATACTGAGTCTGAGGGGGTTTAACTGTGGCATTGTATCTCAGTGGGGCTTCACTATAAAACCGGGACTAGTCGCACGCATCAATATGAGTGGAATAATCTAGAAAGCAACGATAAACCCCATTTGACACAACCTCGTCATCTTGGGTCATTAACCTCAGTCCAATGTTTGCGCATGGCTGCACTTCACAAAAGAGAGATAAGTTTGGTTGACTTCTATTCATTCAACCATTAAATGGCAAAAAGTACGGTCAATTTAACAGTTGCATTATTTTAATCGTATAAATTATTTTTTTATATTCCACGGAACATCAAATATGAAAGTTGTCTGTTATGCAAATACTGTAAACATGAGATATCATATGCTCGTTTCGTTTTGATTATGTATTTTATTTACT